TGGCACGTGCACCATGGAAAAGCATCCCTGAAGGGATACATTGTTTGGAATGGCTCAGCTTCCCTAGAACAACAGCTTTCACTCCAGAATTTTCTATCAGCTTTCTAACAAGCCTCATTTCCTCTGCAAATTTGATTCGCATTTCTAATTCAAAGCAATGAATTAAATAATTTAGCATTATTAAACCAGCAGCCTGCCAACTTTAGGAAAACACAAAACAAAATTTTAAAAAGCTGACTATACACATTTCCAGCTTCTCAAGACAGTTAAGATAGACACACAGATTCAAATGCAGCTGCCTAATCATAGGCAGCTTTCAGCAGCTCCCCGGGAGCTGCTTCCATTTCCCTTTCCTCCTCTCCCTTGTGAGAACTTCACAGCCTTTAGACAGAGGACTTCGCTGCTGCTCCCATTTGCTCTAGAACACCGAGTGTAGTCAGCACCGTTTACTAGACTATGTTCATCAATATTTGAGTTCTGGCAAATCCCTGGTACAGAAAAGAGTGGGTGCCGCAGCGCTTACTCAGACATAATTTCATTTTAAAAAGTCAAAGGGTTGGGTATTTGCAGGTGTTTATGATTGTCCAGACTTCTGTTTCTTTTGGCAGGAAGTGTGTCACATGAACAGGTAACTAAAACGTGTCAGGCTGTAGTGAGAAGGACAGTGGTCCTTGTTAAACCACTTTTACCCCCCTACCCCTTTAGGCATGGCACTTTTCTCTGGTAAGTGGTATTTAGAGTATAGTTTGAAGAGGGGAAAAGATAGCTTGGCTAACATAGAGTGGAAGTTTGTCTCAGAATTCCTAAGAATAGTGTCATGTTTGACAGGCAGCCAAAACAGCAAGCGTATTTACACCACGGGAAGGCCTTGTGTAATCCTGATGTTTTCCACTTTGGATAAAGCCATAGATTCTCCTCTGTTTGTATGGAAGTAATGATCAGATTGCTATTTCAGCTACTTTCACTCTTATATCGTTTCTTTCACATGTTCTTTTTTCCCTTTTTCTTATGAAAGTGCAACTCACATACAGGGATGGGTACAAACTTTAACGTTACAGCTGGATGAATTCAGTCTGTATTCAGTGTGGCATTCTTTTCCCAAATATTTTCCATTATGCTTATCTAGTAAAGTCTGCTGTCCTGCACTGCAATTTCCTAAATGAGGAAAACTCACACATTGCTTCCAGAATACTTTTGACGCATCTTTTCAGCTAAAGCAAAACATTCAGCGTAGATAGGTAAACGGCTAAGTTTTATGCTGTACTCTCGAACCTGTCTGTTGTCAGGTTCAATGTGCTGGTGCAGACATACGCCATCAGTAGATTACACTTTCCTGAGAAGAAGCTACAGTGCAAAATCTTGACAGCAGCTTTTAAAAGTCAGATACAAGGCAATGGTAAGGGGAAGGGAGGAAGACAGAGAGGGAAGGGGAGAGACATCCACGCAGCAAAGTCTTCCAGGCAGCCTTCTGTGTTTATTTCACCCACCCGACCAGCCTTCCTCCAAAGATTCTTAGCCTCGGCACTTGCCCTGATATTGGCCCAGAGTTGTTTTTTAAAATAACTGGAAATGTTATCAGCCATTTGTGTCTCCCACAGATTATACACATACATTCCTTTTTAACAAGAATGTATTCGATTTTGTCCAATCACCCATTCCTCCTTCACTTTCATCCCCCAGAGCCCTTGGTGGTAGATAAGGATCTACCCACAAAGGCTATTCAGTAAGAGACTTTGAAATGGAGAAGCAAGAGAGAAAGCCCCGATTTTGTAGCAAGGCCTCCACTGCTCCCTGTGGCCACTTCCCCCACCACAACTGCTGTTGTAGTGAGATTCAGGAACACATTAAAACAAACAATAAAAATAAAAGTTCTAAATATGTACCATGACTCACAGTGTGTTACATAGTTGAAAGAAAAGCCCAATTAAAGGAGAAAAACAAAAAGTGGAAATGTGCTCCATTTCTGTGTGATGTTGTCAAAGCACTCGAAGTGTGAATGTTGGTGTTGTCACTATGAGAGCTGCACTGTCTCCTGAGCTCCAGGTCAGGATCCTCCTCCATCTATCAGTAAAACTTAAAGACATTCAAGATTCATAGAGTTATTATGATATTATCTCAAACTATGTGATTATTGGCATCATGTCAACATCAAAACTGTCTACAACTAAACCTTTGTTTAGTTTTCTAAAGAGATCTTTAAAAAGATTTTGCTCCCCATAACTTCCTTAAATAAGTGTCTCCCAAATTTTCTCTTTTATTTTTTCTTTTTTGCTTTCTAGCATCATTGATGGAAGGAGTGATTGATTATTGATAATATCAAAGCCTATTCGGTATCCGTAGCAAGGCAGTTTGTATCTTAGTGTGATTAACTAAATGCTTATGAGATCTAAAAGAGAAGATAGGTAGGTCAATGGTCATCTCTCTCTTGTTAGGAAAAAAACATCATAGTTACAATGTCATTCATCACATTATTACCTGACATATTTGTTTGTAAATATATTATGTAAAAATTAAAAATAAATACGCTTAACTTTCTTTCTAATCAGTGATAAGATAGTAGACCATTTGCACATTTCATTCTGAAAGGAAAGAAATAATAATTAACCTCCCCATGTGACCACCTGCTGGCTCCTCAGTAAGTGACATTTTTCTAGTGATAGTCTGGTATTTCCCCACAGTGCTGTATTTTATCATCCTCATGTTTTTCATGTTTTTTTTAATAATAATACTTTGAACTCTAATTATCTTCTAATTATCACAGCACATACTCTGTTGCTTAGCCGTCATGTATTTGGTTGAAAGGCTACCATGAGCCTCATTACTACTCTAACAGTTGTGGGAATTTCAGACAATCCTGGTAAGGCTGATGATTCTACCTCTGCTGTTTGCTCAGGGAATGTGCTGTTTCAGAGCCTGAAGATGGACAAGGCATCTTACCATTTTCGATAATGTGTTCGACTAGGAGCAAATTAAAAATCTATAAGAAGGAATGCACTAATGTTAATATTTTAAAACAAAAGTTTTAAGAAATATGAACAATTATAAATCCAGCCCTATACGAACTCCTCTTGGTTTCCAAACTTCTTTCTTCATCTGAAATTATATTGTACAATCAAATAACTTCTCTCTCTCTGGATACCAGTTGTTACTAATCATAGATTCATTTCTTTCCTTGACTTTTAGTATTCTTCTAGAAAACTATTTTAATGAGGAAGGTTTTGTGTCCTGGTGTGGCACAGTAGAAGTAATGTGGTCCCAGGAATCAGGTCGATCTAATTTGAACCATGAATCTAACATTTGTCAGTTCTCTGATCACTGTCATCTGTAAAATTGCAAAAGACAATTTTCCTTTTCAGGGTTATTGTGACAATTAAATAACATGCAAAAAAATTCTAGCACTGGAATTATTTATAAATGGATGAATTAGCTCATTATATTTTAGATGCGCCTGCGAAAGTGCCCATCACATATCAGCCATCCTGCTGTCTTGGGCAGGGTGTGAAGAAAATCCCACTTGTTTTCGTTAATTGTCCACTTGTATCTAAATATATATCAAAATGTTTTTGTAAAAAATCATTTTATGTTGAGCTGCCATTCTCTCTGTATCAATTCCAAAAAATATATTATAGTCAATGACAGCATTGATACGAATGCTTATTTGAGAGGCTATTTATTAGTTCATACTGTGATATGTTCTTGTGATAACTGTTTGCATATTTTTAGGACAATGCTTTGAATTTTAAGTATAACATATTACCAAGTGCAGAATTCCACTTACTATTTCCATACCTTATGGTGACCATCTCCAGCCCAAATCCCTATTACTGTCCTGGACACAACAATCTTCACTCTGTTGTCTAAACCAAGGACCCAACTTGGTAGGGAGCAGAGCAGAGGAACAAATATGTAGACAAGCAGTCGCAGCTACGTGTGACTGTTCCCCTGCCAAATACTGCTTGTAGCAGCATTGGTATTTTCTCCTGCAATTTTGTCCTTTTATTGGTTTATTCATTTTTATGTCTATTCCAGAAATCTCTTGATGCTTTGGAATTTTGTATATATAAAAATGTTCAATATGCATTTAATAAGTAAATATTTTTGTAAGGTATCAAATATTGGAACTACTATGTTATACCGATTACACGTGTAAAATAGATGCCTGAGAAAAGTAATTCTCATTGGAAGAGAGTACATTATCTAATAAAACATTATTAAGTTATTTTGTTAGCATGATAATAAATACTGGTGTGAAAAAGGCTTAGATCTACCAAGAGGAAATTTGCTATTTAAAAGGCATAAAGTGGGTAGATAGCCTGAGCTCGGGAGTTCAAGACCAGCCTGAGCAAAAGTGAGACCCTAGTTTCTACTAAAAATAGAAAAACTAACTGAGCATTGTGACCTGTGCCTGTAGTCCCAGCTACTCATGAGGCTGAAGCAAGGGGATGGCGTGAGTCCAAGTGTTTGAGGTTGCTGTGAGGTATGAACCCCAGAAATCTACCCAGGGCACAGAGTAAGACTGTCAAAAAAAAAAAGAAAGAAAGAAAAGAAAAGAAATACATTCAATATTATAAGTTTTATGCTTTATTTCATAATTTTGTCCTATCATTACTTTATTTATATATATATAATATATGTATATATGTATATTTTATAAACTTTTTGATGCTTTGGAAGGGTTCATGTACAATTTGGGTGTATTTAGTTCAATTTACCAGGGTGAGACCCAGTTTAATTGATTGATGAGATGGATAGATATTCATATCTAGATATGGACACATTCAAACTGTTCCTGGACTTCAGGCTCACTGCCAGCCTGAAAGCACTTTTAGAATCCTACATTTAAAGTCTTTGTCTTTTGTTGGAGAAGTGGAGCAGGTGGGGATAGTAAACATGCTAGAGAAGGGAGATTTGAGGGGGGATAATGCCACTTAAAAGGAATAAATCTGATCTGTTTTAAAAATAATGTTAATACTTGTTAATTTTGTTCTATTTCCCCACAGGGTCAAATGTTTATTTGGCTACTTGGCTACTGATACAAGAACACAAAATGAATAACTCAACAAATTCCTCGAATAATGGCCTGGCTCTTAGCAGTCCTTATAAGACCTTTGAAGTGGTATTTATTGTCCTTGTGGCCGGATCCCTCAGTTTGGTGACCATCATTGGGAACATTCTTGTCATGGTTTCCATTAAAGTCAACCGCCACCTCCAGACCGTCAACAATTACTTTTTGTTCAGCTTGGCCTGTGCTGACCTCATCATAGGTGTTTTCTCCATGAATCTGTACACCCTATACACTGTGATTGGCTACTGGCCTTTGGGACCTGTGGTGTGTGACCTTTGGCTAGCCCTGGACTATGTAGTCAGCAACGCCTCAGTTATGAATCTGCTCATCATCAGCTTTGACAGGTACTTCTGTGTCACAAAACCTCTGACCTACCCAGTCAAGCGGACCACGAAAATGGCAGGTATGATGATTGCAGCCGCCTGGGTCCTCTCCTTCATCCTCTGGGCACCAGCCATTCTCTTCTGGCAGTTCATCGTTGGGGTGAGAACTGTGAAGGATGGAGAATGCTACATTCAGTTTTTTTCCAATGCTGCTGTCACCTTTGGCACTGCCATCGCGGCCTTCTATTTGCCAGTGGTCATCATGACCGTGCTGTATTGGCACATATCCCGAGCCAGCAAGAGCAGAATAAAGAAAGACAAGAAAGAGCCAGTGGCCAACCAAGACCCAGTTTCTCCAAGTCTGGTGCAAGGAAGGATAGTGAAGCCAAACAACAACAACATGCCCAGCAGCGACGACGGTCTGGAGCACAACAAGATCCAGAACGGCAAAGCCCCCAGAGAGGCCGGGACTGAGAACTGCATCCAGGGGGAGGAGAAGGAGAGCTCCAACGACTCCACCTCCGTCAGTGCCGTCGCCTCTAACATGAGAGATGATGAAATAACTCAGGATGAAAACACGGTTTCTACTTCCCTGGGCCATTCCAAAGATGAGAACTCTAAGCAAACATGCATCAAAATTGTCACCAAGACCCAAAAAGGTGACTCATGTACCCCGACTAATACCACCGTGGAGCTAGTTGGGTCTTCAGGCCAGAATGGGGATGAAAAGCAGAACATTGTAGCCCGTAAGATTGTGAAGATGACCAAGCAGCCTGCAAAGAAGAAGCCTCCTCCTTCCAGAGAGAAGAAAGTCACGAGGACGATCTTGGCTATTCTCTTGGCTTTCATCATCACCTGGGCCCCGTACAACGTCATGGTGCTCATTAACACCTTCTGTGCACCCTGCATTCCCAACACAGTGTGGACCATCGGTTACTGGCTGTGTTACATCAACAGCACCATCAACCCTGCCTGCTACGCACTTTGTAATGCCACCTTCAAGAAGACCTTTAAACACCTTCTCATGTGTCATTACAAGAACATAGGCGCCACAAGGTAAAACATCTTTGATAAAGAGGAAGGTAGGAAAGGATACAAGGGGTAAAAAGAGCTCCTAGTTTTAAAATCTCTGCCCTTGCACTTTATAGCCTAACTATGGAACTTGCAATTCAGGAGCCCAATAGCCGCACTCTTACCAAGCCTATGCTCCAGTTTGAGAAACTAGCACCTTGTACAACTGTCTGTTTAGGAGCAGTGGGACAATGAAAGAGATGTGTTGGAATTGTGATTCAAGGAATGATCTACGCTTTCTCATACTCTCTTGAAGAAGGGCTTCTGCGTCTACCATTTTATCAGTCTGCACAAGAAGAATAACCTCGTTCCTTTTTGTTGTTATCTCATGTGTCCATCTGAGGATGAAATGTACAGTAACATGCTTCCATGGAGACTTAAACACAAAAACAAGAAACTCTATCCAAGGAGGAAGTGAAGAAAGAAAAGTTGCACATAAAAAAAAAAATAGATACAGAAATGATCTCCAGAGTGTTAAACATGATTTATCTTTTTGTTATGGTCTTATTTGGAGGATTTCAATGTAATAAATGCTACTTTTTTCACCTTTCCTTTACCCACCATGAAGAAAAAGCAAACAAACAAAAAATCCAACTAGGTCTCACAGCATTTTTTTTTTCAATTTATGGTGTTATTTTTTGTAATTCTCTGTTCTGCATTGTTTATGGGCAATCCTGTCGGACTTTTGCTAAATGCAGCCAGAGATGCCACAAAAATGGGCGCTTCAGCCACCACCACTGTGTAGTTGCATTCTTGGGGGTATAAAAGCCTTTGGGGATTCAATTTATTTATTATCCTGTATGTGAAATGTTCCGACCAATCTGTTTTTTTTTCCTAAAGTAGGTTTTTTTTTATTTTAATAGAATACTGTACCTAAAACATAAATATGCTTGAGAAACCAAAGTCATTGTAAGATTGAGGTTTCATTGAGTTACTTAATGGTCAAGGTAGTTGGGAAAGTTTACTAAGACCAGATGAATTTTGAGATGAAAACACTAGAAGTTTGGATTCTGTTTCACCTTGAATCTGCCTGAACCAAGTATAAACTGCGAACTTTTAAAACATGAAATTCTTCCTGACTTAGTCAGCAGGAAGGGAATGTGGCATCATTCATTTGGAATCCTAAACAAGATTAACATCCCCACATAGCACCAGGAACTTCTGGGTCAGACCCATGAGTATAAGACCTTCTATCCGATACCTGCTGAAGGAAGATATTTATAATATATTCAGGTGAGGTTGTCTAATACTAGCCTATGATCCAATGAAGAGAAAAATGAAAAAAAATTCAGAATCATTTACTGAAACCATATGTTCCATATTCCTCAAATTTCCAAATCTCCCTAACATTATTTAAACTCAAAATTCTCCTATCAATAGAATTATAATAATCTTTGTGACAGAAAAACAGTGGATAACTGAACAGAGGCCAAATGAGCTCACAGAAGGATTTGGGTGGATGTTCCTTTGGTATTTCTCACCATCCAGTAGTAGACTATAAAAAAGTCATGTCAGTAGTTATCATCTAAATGGTGGCATTATACAGAATCTCATCCATATAGAGACTTTTTATTGGGTAGGCCAAAAAATATAGGATTATGCTTATTCTTATGTAGCTAGTTGTTTTTATTCCTTTTATTCTTTTCTTATACTGTATTCTGTAGTCTTCCAATCAGATTTTTAAAGATGGCCCAATCAGTAGAAATCAAATTTATAAATGCCTTTTTAAGTTTTGTATTTTGCATTTTAGATTGATGGGCTTTCTGCCATTTGTCCAGGAATACTGATGTGAGATACAGGATGAGTTTGTCAGCATCAGACCCTGGCACTTGTCAGAGTTACCTTGTATGACTTGGCTCGTTGATGACACCTTCATGATGTGAAGAATTGAAAAAAAAAAGCACAATGGAAAAAACAACAAAAAAGTTAATAAGACGCAAATCACCAATGATAGTTGTACTTATCCTTTATACAGATAATTATTTTTTAAACAACTTCAATCACTTTTTGTCCTCCCCAAATCTTCCACATATAACCATACAACATTAGTTTATATAGATGATTTTACTCCACAATTAAGTTAATGTAAACGTTTACGTTTCAACTCTGTATTTACATTTACATTTTTCTTCAAATCATTGAGTAAATTGATTGGAAGATACATCAAACCAATGGGCTCCTTGGTTTTCAGAAAACAACATAATTGGCTAAATATTTCATTTTTAACTTATATTATGATGAAGTAAATTTGGCTACAGTTAGGATGAACCATTGGATTCAAGGATTTTGAATTCAGGGTCTTTTGTCTTTTTTTTTTTCTCTGACAATCCAGCTCCCCATGAATCAAACTGTCTTTTTTATTCTCTATTGCCCATGTGTTCTTCCTTTTCTTCCTTGTGTTTTTGATCTTTGCCACCACAGCCTTATTGAGAAAGAAACTGCAAGGTAATGAAAGGAATTGGAAGACTGACGCGCCATGGGAACTTTGTCAAACACATCAGAAAAATGGAAGGAATACTGAAAATGGGAGATGACTGCATTTGTATTAAGGATTTGTATTACATATTTCTTACCTATTTAAGTGACATTCTGTCAGAGATAATTTTCTGTCCTGGGGCATTGATCAATGTGACATTTTTTATTGTCACAGTGGGAGGAAAGCTATCGATATCCAGAGGCCAGAGGCCACGGATGCTGCTAAACTCCTGACGGTGCATAGGACATCCCCTCCCAATCAAATTATTTGGCTCAAAATGTCTATAGTGCCAAGCTTCAGAAACTCTTGTCTATTTTAATGGATTTCTAGAGTTCACTCCCTAAGACTGGGAAAATAATCTTGCATCTTTTTTTAGAATACCAATTCAAATTGCTCACCTATTTGAAAAAACATAATACTCACCAATCATGTATCTGGAACTCTCATCCCTTGAGTCTGGTATATTTGTAATTCATAGATTGGGAACATAGGCTGCACCTATTTATCCAAAATCACTCCTCTATGCACATGGCATGTTAGTTCCAGCATCTTAATGTTCAGTCATGGTTGCCATAGCGTTGAGCCACTTGAAGTTGTGAGTTGGCCATCAGAATGGCTCTGGTTGATATGGTCTGTTTCTATTGGAGCTGCAATTGTTACTTTCAGAAATATTAAAAACCTCTTACAGAAACAATATGATTCATCTTCTGGGCTTTCACTGTAAAGGTGAATATCTATCAAGAGTTTATTTCTTCTCTCCTCATAGCAATAATGTAAATATCTCAGAGTGGTCTTGGGAAAAGAAGAAATTAAGACTGTGAAAAAAGCCAGTTCATTTATCAAAAAGAGGAAATTATATCTTTTTTTATCAGTTCATCTTTACTTTAAAGCCAGCTCCTAAGCACAAGGACAAAAATTACTAATATATTAAGTCACAAGAGATGAGCTTTCTGGTTTGAAATATGGAAGCTGGAGGCCCCACATTCTTCTGCTCTGTGTCCATTCACAATTTTTTTGATCCTGAATATGTGACATTGGGGAGGATGGGAGTTCAAAATTATGGCAACAATTACTCAGTAATGCAGTCTATTTTGTTTTTCTCCTCTTAGTTCATTGATAGTTGCTTCCCCCAGTTCAGTACTATCCCTTTCAACAACCATAGCGCTGGTGTTCCAAATAGTTTAGGAAAGCACCCCAAAGCCGAATGAAATTGTGCAAAGTGTATTTTCAGCATGTATATACAATACCAAGCCTCTTAAATATGCTTCTCTTTAAAGGACGCACATTGTAGCATGAGCTGTGTGCATATTTAATGTATCTTCCTGAAATATGCTATATGCTTAATATATATATATTCTATAAATGTAATAATAAAATGTACAATATAAATACATATTTCTGTATGCAAATAAATATATTATACACAAAATTTTACTATGTAACATGGTATGTGTTGCTTCTGAGTAACAAGACTTGATTTCACGTGCTCAACTCTCAAAAATGGTGAAATTAGAGAGCCAAAATCCTACCCATAGTAATATTAACCTGTTTTATAACCTTGCAGAGCATGGAGCTGATTTTAACTATCTCTCAGAGGATTAAATTAATAAATCTTTGCTGATATCGCTCCATGTGACAACAATGTTTCATCCGCCTGTGCTCCTGACAGCCAGCTGAGGAGAAACTTCCCAACTAGTACTGTTTCAACAGCTGTGTTGATCTCTTGTCTGATTGCCTGATGGGGTTGCAACCAACCCATTCTCATATGGTTTTACTCTCCACCAAATGAACTGATTTACTGATTTTAGTGGAAGAAGAAATAACCATCTTGGGAGAAAGAGATGGCCTTCAGAATGTTTTTCATTCTGACAAGGTGAAAATGCACAAGCACCATATTTTATAAACCACTCTTTTCGATTTGTTTCCAGTACAATATCCCGTATATTAAATGTAGTATAGTAGTAGAAGTTGCCCAATGAAATTCCAAGATAGAGGGTTTGTTTCTAAGTGTCCCGTATTTTTTCCATATCAGTCCTCTTTTTTTCCCCCTTGTCCACTGAATTACTCACATCCTAGAGAACATTTTCTTTGACCCATTATCAGGAGTCCATAGTTAGCTGATATTGTTACAATATTAGTTGATGCCAGACATGCAATCCCAGGAGGTACTTTAATTTTAACAAGAAAAGTACAGGTACTGAGCCTTTGAAATATTACTACTATAATCTTCGAATGCTAGGACACGCAAAGGTAGAGAGATTTTTCAACTAAGTCTATTTTTCTTTGAATTTTAAGACACTTCCTAAATTATACTCATCACAACACAATTCATCCATGTAAATTGGTATCTTTTATCTATACCAATGTGATTTCTAAAAAAAAATTGATAGTTTTATCAATTCTCTCTTTAGGTTCATATTGTTTTGGTGAAATGCTGTCTTTTCCTTTTTAATAATCTAAATTGAATTATGTATTGATGAAGTGTCCAATGCTACTCCTGACTAGATGGTTGCTGGCTCTGATCATTGATATTTCCCTATTAGACACTGAAACAAGAAAAGTATCATGCAATCAGCAGGGAAGCATTTTTTACCTCAGAGCATGTCGCAGTCTTTTTCAATGAAAAATAGAGGAACCACAAGGTTGTAAGTTGTGGAACTGAAGTGTTTATTAAATAGGTAATGTTCTAGAAAATCTGTTATTTGCCTTCCTAAATACCCACTCAGATAGTCATGAGAAATTGCCAAGGAAAAGAATAGGTATTCATCTTCAATACTTGCATCAGATATGCAGGAATTTATCTGAAACTTTAAACTATACCTTTACTGAAAAGGCTAGCCTTTGCAAGTTATTACTATAAAACATGACATGATATTAGTGAATAAACTATGTGCCTATTTCCAGGAAAAAAATTACAATGGACTACAGAGGTGGCTAATATACATCCCAAACCGTAAGAGTGCCAACATGATGCTCAAAGGAAATGCTCATTGGAACATTTTGGATTTTGGATTTTGGGATTAGGGATGTGCAACTGGAAGTATACTGAAAATATTTCCAAATCCAAAAAAATCTAAAAGCTGAGACACCTCTGATCCCAAACATTTCAGGGATAAGGAATACCCAGTCTATAGTGTGACAATTTCTATAACTACAAGAAGAAAAACCCAAATGTTGTAATTCACTGTATCCTTAATTTTCAACATTGTAAGTCTTGCTCTCCTTACTTCTCTGTACACAAAGCAGGTACTTAC